GAAAAGCAAAAAAATTATCTGATTGCAAAGTTTAACATAGGGTTACAGACTGGAAACAAAGAAGATCCTGACAATGTGGCAGAAGAAATGAAATATGCTACACAGAATGGCTCACGCATGTTTGCTAGTACAGAATTTTTGACACCACTGCAGATTTCCAGTTTTTTCTCCAGACACGCCAGGAAAACTGATGCTTTGAAAGAGACTTTGATAGTGAAGTGGAAAATTCACTTACAACATCCATTTGACACATTACATTGTTCTAAATGATTGGTTGAATGGTTCTCTTTATTAATTGATAAAATTATGGTATTCTTTTTTTATTGGTAAAAGATAAGTATATCATTGAGGAAAAGCTTTTTGCATCAATCAGACTGTATATTTTTGTATAACTTTGTTATTTGTTTTTTACCTGCATCGCCAAAGGCGGAAGCAGACCTAGGAGTAAAGTCACTCTGTCCGTATGTCCGTCCGTACATCATATGTAGTTATGCAAAATATCAGGAAATTTGGATTCTCAAATTTTTATGGGAGTTGTGTCCTTTTGAACTTTGAAATTTACTGAAAATCATCATGTATCAGCTTTTCATCACAACTTCTCTTAAACTACTAAACTGAATTTCATGAAACTTTGATTGTAGAAAGAACACCATCAGCTAGGATCATCAGTGCCAGACAAATTTTTTATCTTCAAAAATATGAGGTTTTTTTTTTTAGTGTTATTGGATGATAATTCAGAATCTTGCAATTCTATATACTAACTCACAAATGCCTTATAAAAATAATCTGAAATGTTCAGTGTCACTTTAACAATCCTTCAATAATTTCCCTTTCATATTATTTCTCTGCATTACATTGGGTTTAATTTATAATCATTCCAAAATGAAGAAATCTAAAGCTTATTTACATTAAAAACATTACTGAATTAGAGCAAGTGACGTAGGTCAGGAGAAGGCTATTGCTCCTTGTTTTTATAATAATGATATAACTTGTTGATCAGTTGGAGGTGTATTTTGAATTCAATTTATCATTACTGTTCATAGTATGAAATGGGTGAGCTCTATTTCACAAACAATATACTGGAAACATTATTAGTAAAACATTTATATGTATTTTTTTGTGTCTGGTTTTGTATGTTATTTGTTCATGTTTTGATTTTTGATCATCATTTTAATAATGAAGATATAATATTTCTATTTTATTGGAGGATTTGTCATAAGACTGCTTGAAAGTTTTTTGATGGTTTGTACATGTACATATTAATACAATTTTCTCAAATGATCATACTTTGGATGACAAGACCTCATTAAGTATTGTACAGGAACAATTGAGGAAAAAATCCCCCAAAAACCATATTTTTTCATCATTTTCAGCAAATTTCCACTAAGTTAAAGTATGAAACTTTTGATAAAAAGACTAAAATTGTTGAATTGTGTTTTAATCTAGTAACAGACCCAAATATAATAGGCTATACAACTTGACTTAAGTTAAAATAAGGTCTTTTTTGATGAATTTAGCATTTTTTTCGGTCATTTTCCAGGGGTAGGGGAAGGTTTTCCAACATTATTTAGCATCCTTACTTCATTTTATATTTAATTTTGGTATTATAGGAAAGGTGAAAGACTGATCTATGGAGAAAATGCAAAAGTACCTATGTTTTATGCATTAAGTTGTACATATTAATAAAAAAAAACTGCTTTAATCTGTATTTGCCTATTTTTCAGAAAGTGCCATGGCAACAATTTTTAAAGTGGATTATTTTTAAATTCAGGAATATACCATCTCCAGTGTTTTTATATTTGATAGAGTATACATTAATCTTTATTCTTCAATAAAGTTTTTTTCTGTTGATGCCTGCGTTCTTTTATAAATCTTACCTAGAAAAAGGTAAATTTTCATTTTTTTTCTGAAATCTAAAAAATACCGTTCTTTGGTATCTTTGATTTGCTTATACCAGAATATCATGGACTGTTGATTTTATTTTGTTGTTTAAAAAGTCAAGTACTATTATTGTTTTTACAATATCAAAAGTCATTTTATTGCTCAATTTGTACAGCTATGTGTACACAAGTCCAAAGTTACCCCAATTTCAACTAAAAAAGCATTGAATTTGAAGCCAAAATTTTAGGTCAATGGTTACCATAGCAACCGAACACATGAGAAGAGAAAAACTTTTTTTTTCTCAATATAATCGTATTTGAAGCAAATATGCCAAATTTGGTGGAAATCTGACACCTATGGTTTCCCAGTCCCTATTAATTTCTTTGATGCTTACAGAGAACAGTCAAAGAAAAAACTTAAGTACAATGATATGCATAAAAACATGTACATGTACTTAAAATTTAGAATTCAGCAATCTGCAGTTGTAAAGTTGTATCTTTTTGTTCACTTTGTGAAGAATACATTGAACCATTCTTATTACAGATGTCAACTCAAATATAAATTTTACTTTTTTGCATTTTAAAAAAATTTCACATTATTTTTCAGCGTGCTGTTAAAAAATTCTTGGAGAGGAGGATGTACAACATCACTCCTGCAAGGACCAACAGGGGAAGGAAAAGAAAAAATAATGAAAATAATGGTATATATATATGTTATCAGTATGCCCCCCTCATGCAATAATGGTTTATTAAGTTTACAAACATATGTTTGTAATTAAATCAGTTTAAGATGAACTGCTAATGCTAAGTCAATTATATTTAGTATGCATATTCATTGGCATTTACAAGTATGATTTCCATGGAGTTTATAATAAGCCCCACTTCCTCTTCCTGGGTCATTGACTTTGAAACTTTAACATAGTTACTATATGTTTGTGTTTAGGTTTGTTTAAAGAGAACAACTTCTATGTTAATGGTATTTGGTATGCAGTTGTATTGGCATCAGCACATCTCATTTACATGGAGACTGTTTAGCCATGTACTGTCAGTCATTGTTCATTGACTATTCAAATTGAATATTTGCATAACTTATGTCACATGTTAAAGTATTGCATGCTTTTTTAATTTCAACATTTGCATACTCAGAATTACAAAAAGGCTAGACATATCATTATGATAACAGTTTTTTTAAATATTTATATTTTTAATTTAAGAACATGTACATCAAAAGGATCAAGGGTTGACAAAAGAAAAAGGTTAGCCCTTAAAACTGACAGAAACGACGGAAGAAGAGGTAGATACTTCAAACCAAGAAACAGCTGAAGTACCACTGGAAGTGGCAGAAAGTGCGCACAATGATGCCATCATTATTCCAACAGGAGCAGATAGTACTGACATGACTGAGGAAATAATTAAAGAGGACAGAGTCTTAAAAACAACAGATACGTCGAAGAAAGGTGTAAAAACAAGAGCTGAAAATAGGGAGCTCTTAAGAAAACCTGATAAAATACCGGAAGAATCGGAAATAGAGCTTGATGATGGGACAAGAGGTGGGAAAATTGAAAAGGTTCCAGAACAGGAGAAATTAGGTAAGAACTAAAGTATCAATGTTTGACCTTGCATGAGCTTTGCAGTCTAGTGTTTTTTCACAACATGATACTGATATAAACTAGCCAACAACATCTGCAGTCTCCACCATCTGACCATATTTATTTTTGCATTTATTCATGCTGTTATATAAATATAAGAATATATGGTATGATTGCCGATGATAAAACTCTACCAGAGAACTCATGACATATACAAGTTGATTTAAGAAAAATATATACTCTCTTTTCAAAATATTTCAGAGTTCGCGAAAATGGTTGGTCCTGTTGGTCAAAATGAGGCTCGGACCAGTATTTAGGAAGCTAGTGCCGGTCCTGATGACCGATGTAAAAATGGCTGTTGCAGTGCCTTTTTATCGGTAATTAGTTTTACTGCAACTAATTCCAGTACGTGTTTCCATCGGTCATCAGATGTACCTGCTGCTAATTTTCCGGTACTGGTTTCTTATTATAAACAAACTGAAACCAAAGTAGCGATCTACACGTGGCCTGATAAATTTGCTCATGTAGCCCAAACAATGAGCGATTGAACCCTTCGGTGGAGATAACAAATATAACCAACGGATCAAAAAACGTTTTCGCGAACTCTGATATTTCATTGCAATTTTGATATTACAGAAGATAGAAGTGCCAAGTCTCTTGACAAAGAACTCAGGAGATGTTCACCAAAAACAACAGAGAAAAAAGTTGAGCAACTTCTTAGATTGACAGTAGAATATAGATGCTCTTATGCCACATCTTTACCAAAGCATAGTAGAGTAGAGGATATGATAGGGACATATCCAATATTTTAGAGTACTGACATAGTAAGTTTTCTGTATTTCTATCTATAATTTCAATTTGAAATAGCACTACAAATTATTACAACTCGAGTAATATCAGAATACACATATATAATACACCATACATCTATTATAGGAATGCTTTAATATGATAATTAAATTATAAAACACAGTGGTCAATCAATTTAATGTTAAACCATTTACACCTTCCTTATACAATTAAATTACTTAAGATCTTTGCACAATGAGTTTTTTTGTTGAATTAATGAGATGAAACATAAAGCTGAAATAAAAATTATGAGCTAACTATAGTGAAAAATTGTCTTAGGCATTTGTTTACATTCAAAAACTTGAGAATTTTAAGGATTGTAAAAAAAATATATATACTTTTACAAGTAATTTTTAGGAGCAGATTAAGGGGAGGTTATTCAAACCTTATGAGACAAATTTACTGAGATAAATATATTATTTACTTCTTCAATTAAATGAAAATTACTTGTACAAGAAGTACCCCAGGTCAGTGCTGATTGTACCTTTGTTTTTATTTAAATAATGTTGCATGTGTTCCTATATTTAAACGATATAAATTACATTATTTTGTTATTTAATTTCTTTGTAGCTCATCACCAACCTTCTTGCAACCATCAATTTGGAGGAAAATATAATTTCTCATAAACTCCTTGAAAAAAATTTGAAAAGAACGTCTACAGAGATATTGGACTTGGTATATTCAAAAAACCTCACCACTGTTCCTAGATCAGCACTGAAATCAGAAGGTATTATATATCTTTGTTAAATAAAAGATGGGTTCAATTTAGAACCATTTTGTACTTCTTTTTTTTAAACAATTTTTAACTAGAACATCTAATTCAAGACTTTTATTATGTACTTTGTAGATAAGTTATTCATCACAATAGATATAGAGCTAAGACATGCATGAATAAGAACCTTCACATCATTTAAGTGAAAAAATGCACAGCTTTTGGTTAATTTTCAGTTTTTAGACCTGCCCAAAATTACGTATCAGTTTATATTTTGACACAAAAATCTTCACTTTTTTCAGTGTACTTCAGTTTTAAAGCACCACATGCTTGTGTGTGCACGCACCCTTGTGTTTGTCAGGTGAATAGTCATGATAATGTTTATGCTATGGAAAGTCATTGCATTTAAATGCTTAAGCAAAATAAAAATACATATGTATTTCTGGTTTCACTTCAATAACACAAAAAAAGATCTGGAGTTTGGGAGCTGACTCACACAAACGTTACTGATAAAAAAAATCACATGTATGATGTTTATACTCGTTTTTTGTTTGTTTGTATAGATCAGCAAATACTTGTGGCAATGGCCCAACTGCCTTTGATTCTCGACAAGAGAGAAAAGGGGAAAAGTGTGCCAGTACCACAACTAGTACACATTGTTAAGGTTTGTACAGAATTTGTATTTTTTATTTGTTCATTGTTTTGTTTTTATTTCCTGCTAGAGTGAGTGTATTTTGCAGAACTTGAAGGGCACACTCTCTTAAAGGCATCTAGTTACAAAATTCATTTTTGTTAGAAAACATTTCATTTGAATGACCAAAGAACATCAAACCTTATGATTATATTATGATTCAATGATAACAATACAAAGCATTTTGCAATGTTATTATTATTTTTGAACCTGCATGTCTTAATTAGATAGTTTGAATATTTTATGTTACTGTGACTTGGTTGTAAGTGTTGCTCTCCAGGTAATGCAGTTTATTAAAAACAATTTGACCTAATTGCAATTTGTTGTATCAAACCAAACTGTACATTGAACTGGTCAGAATATATAACAATCTGTTGTAGTATACTAGAGTCCAGTCATGAAAGTGCGAGGTGATTTAAAAAAGTATACATACAATCCTTTAAGACTTTAACTCAACTTCCATTGATATTTTGAAACTGATAAGAATTTCTGTACCAAATTATCATTCAGTTCTTACGAAAGATGACTGAAAAATAATTTACACTTTCTTTTCCAGAAAGACGAGATGTGGCAAGAAATAGCTGCTAAGCATAAGAACTCCACATCACCATGGATAATGTACCAACGACATGGAGACCAAGAAATCATAACCGTTATGATTAAACAGTCTATGATTAAAAAGGCCTCATCAGCAGTTAATGCAGTGCTGGCATTGATGGGTATATATTACATGGCAATGTTGCCATACCCTTCAAAATGCAGCGCGGCTCTGCTGTACATACAAGGACAAGTCCTACTGGATGAAGTTCACAGCAAAGACAAAAGTGAATTTAACAAGGCAAATGAAATTTTCGAAAACTTCGTTTTGAAAGAAGTTGATTTATTTGCATGAAATGAACATTGATGTTTAACTATGAGACTGACTTGTTTTATTTGTAGGTGTACAACATAATTTTTCATATTTTGGGATAACAGATTTATTAATTAGTTTATAATATTTAAAAGATACAGAAATAGTAACACACTGTCCTTTGCGTTTTTAAAATTAAAATCTCCAAATAATCTGTTGCATCTGTGACCTTGAAAATATAATTCTTAAATAAACAATTAAGCAGATGTTATTTATCCAAATAACTTACTTTTATGCAACATAATTCAATTTTTCATTTTCTTTTCTGCTTGAAGCATGTAAAAATATATATTTTTTATTACTACTATACATGAGCTGTTAAATTCATGTAATAGATATGACCCAAATTATTATTTTTATTTATAACATACTAAAAATAATATCCAGATTTTAAAAAGTGCTGGGCAAAAGTAACAATTAATAATACAATGTACTTTCGGCATTGGCTTGTAAAAATGCATCTGCATTTGTACTTATTTTAGACAAGACCCAATTTTATATATCAAAATGACCTCCTTTTAGGCTGCAAACCACCATATAACCTTATATCAAAGTAAATTTAAATAGATAGCATTTACAATCAGATTTTATTCTGTATGTTATAAACATATGTAAAATTTAATCATAGTTTTACCTGTATTAGAATGGTTTTATTTGATATTGAATTTATATTTTATAAGTTGCAAATACCATTTGTTATTTTTGTTTATGCCCATTTATGGGCATTATGTTTTCTGGTCTATGTGTCTGACTGTTATAGCTGTCCCGCTTCAGGTTAAAGTTTTAGTTGAGGTAGTTTTTGATAAAATTGAAGTCAAATCAACTTAAAACTTAGTACACATGTTCCCTATACTAGTATATGATATGATCTTTCTAATTTTAATGGCAAATTAGAGTTTTACCACATTTTCACTGAACATAGAAATTGAAAGTGCTGATGTGGCATCTGTGGATACTTTGGAAACATTCTTGTTTTTGTATAATGTTAGGTTGCAACTTTTTGTGTTGACTTAGTATTATGAACATTTTTTAAATGTTGCATTGAGTTGCAATTTGATTAGGCAAGGGTTTTATGTACAAGATACAAAGAGTATTTTGAAGGGCTATACCAAATACATTCTTTGTTTTTCAGACACCTACTCTTGATAAAGAGGAGCGATGAGAGATTTTTATTTTCTTCTCAAAAATAATATTGTGAGAGCAAGTGTCTTTGTTTTAAAGAAAAGAAAAGAGGTATATTTTTTTAAGTGAGAGATAAAAATATACATGATTTGTGCTTCATATTTCATGTATTTATGCCTTTATTTCAGTTCTTTAAAGTTTATTTTATAGAATACATTTTGGTTTGTTTTTTTAACAAATTCAGTTCACATCAATTAGTCTTCCTTCTTCAAATTTTTCACATAGAAATTTCCATGCTGCAGTTCTTTCTTGGGAAAATAAGTAAAAAGTATATATGTCATGTTTGCATGCATGTAGGTGATAGTATAGTAACATGTGCAAATCTTTTAACATATACTGTTGTTTTGATTTTTCTTGTTGAAAAAAATATTTCATAAGATATGAGTCTTGTGCTTGTATATAATATACAAATGTATAGCATGGTAAATTTCAATGGGACCATGTACTTTTTGAATAGTATCTTTAGGTGTATATACCAGCTTGTATTGATCATGTATTATCACAGTCAAATTATACATGCATGCATACTTATTGACTTTGAAATTTGATTGAAACTGAAATTTATATATATATGTACACATATTTTACATTTTTGTTGTTTTGTCATTTAGATTTCACAAGTCACAGGTTTCCATGAAGTTATTTTTTACTGGTATTCCTGGATATAGCATTCATTGCTATAATGACAGGCTATAAAAGATATAAATAAGTTGATGACTATCTATAGATGGGCATAGAATTGTAAACTAAATTTTTATTCACTGCTAATTTATAAATATGAAATATAGTTTAATAAAATGCAGACTAGTTCATCCATGCACATGGTAAATACAACATATATAGGCAGAAATAAGTTGATAAATATGTCCTTTAAAGTAAAATCCTTCTAAATTATAATGTTTTTGTATTATATATATCTGCATGTCATCATTTTGAATGAGTCCATTTATTGTAGAAAAGTGAATACTTGAGTGTTTTATTAAAAACAGTTTGAAACTTGTAAAAAATAGTAGCTTAAATAAAAAAATTGGAAATATGTTTGTGTTATAGTTGTAAATTATTTCAATTTTCAAAAAGTGTCTTACTTCATGTATTACATATACATGTATATTTATTGTGTCCTTTTTCATATTTATATTTAAGCAATTGAATTAGTAAGTTATTTATACTACTGATAAACATTGATGAAGATAAGTAATCTCAATCAATTAATTACTTGATAATACTAAGTAAAAGATTCAGTAATAAAATAAATTACCTAATTTCAGTTCTTAGTAATGATATTTCTAAGTAAAAGAAAAGTAAATTTATTACTTAGAATTACTTATTATTAACTGATTACTTAAAATTACTAAAATAATTACTTTCAATTACTAAACTACTTACTTAAAATAAGTAAACAAATTACTTAAAATTACTATAATTTACTTATCTCGATCACCATGATCACTAGTGTGACAATTAATTTTACTAAGTAAAAAAACTGTTTGTAATTTTTACCACAGAAATATTTACTTAGTAAATGAATTACCATGTTTTATTAGTAAAAATCTTACTTAAATATTCAATTACTTAGTAATGCTTTTACTGATTGACTCATTTACTTTTACTCAGTAATTGATAACACAAGTAATCGCTATAAGTAATTATGATTTACTTAAAATTACTTGGAATTATTTGTTATTACTTAATGTGATCACTGGTGTGACAAACTTTTTTACTAAAATATTACTTGAAATAAGTAATAATTTTTTTTATTTTTAGTAATTTTAAGTAAATTTTTTTTTGAGTGTGTGAACATTTATTTAAAGATTTTTTTGAAAGATGGCAAGTATTATGAGCCTAGAAATAACATCATCGAAAAATCTTCTTGTCCGCCAATAATATTTCTTTGGAAAACCTTGGGGAGCTATCATTTGATTTTTTTAGTTGTAATCTCTCTCCTGCCTTTTTATTTTTCCATATATATGTCAAACACTTTTAAGCTATAAATACAGGTTTTCCTATATGTCCATGTGTAGCAGGATATGCTTAACCTTCCGGAGCATCTGAGATCACATTTTGTTTGTGGGAGTTCATGATTTTTTGTGTCGTCAGGGGTATTCAAAGCTCGCTGCATGTTGTGGATTTTTAAATAGATAAGTGACAAAGAGACAAGTCGTTGTTAAGTTTTGATATCTATAATTAAGTAGACAAACAACGGACATACAGTCAACAGTTTCTTCTATAGTTCGGAGTAGGATTTTGAGTGATAACTGTTTTTAAACCAGGTCCGCTAGTGTGATAAACATCTAGTCCATTATAGAACTGGCAACCAATATCTGGAATATTAAGAGACCCAGTGAAATGTGTGCCATTTCCATACGTGATACAGTATAGCGAATAACTGGTGTTGTTTATGTCAACAGTATTTGGAAGTCTACCTAGAGGACAAATGTCTACCTCAAAGTATACCACTGGAGGATTTGGAAACACATTTGTCCGGTCTGAAAATGTTCTTTGTCCGCCACAATCATCACCAGTCAGGGTTTTCTGTCGACACTGCATAGGATTACGAGTATTTATTTACCAATAATCTATTGCTTCCTGGAAGGAAATACTGTTCCAGCTCAAACAGTGTTACATGATTTGATGACAACTGGTGTGCAGCATTCTACTTTAGTACATTAAGTTGTATAAACGGTACGGATAAATATGTACAGTTTACAGAAAAAATTTCTTGTTTTGATACTATATTAAGTTGTTTCTACACTTTATACAAGTATTCCCCATTCCAAACTCATAGACAAATTGAAAGAGATGGTATTGATTTGTTTCATAAAAAAGAATGGCGAACGTAGATACATGTATCTTGTCTTGGGGAGGGATAAATCCTACTTTGTAAAGAATCACTCTGATTCAAACAAAAAATTCGCTGAAACTGACATTATCAAGATGCTTGATTTCTTGATTGACAACATATTTGTAACGTTTGGAGGACGTGTTTTTCAACACACTGTCGGCATTCCAATGGGAACCAATTTTTGCCGACTTGTTTCTTTATTATTATGAGGCTGACTTCATACAGGAACTTCTTAGGAAGAAAGATAAGAAGTTAGCAATATCCTTTAACTTTACTTTCCGCTATATAGATGATGTTCTCTCACTAAATAATTCAAAATTTGGTGACTATGTTGAACGCATCGAACTAGAGATAAAGGATACTACATATACAGTTAAGTCTGCCTCATATCTTGACTTACATCTAGAAATTGACAAAGAGGGTCGGTTAAAAACAAAACTTTACGACAAAAGAGATGATTTCAGCTTCCCAATTTTGAACTTTCCATTTCTATGTAGTAACATTCCAGCAGCGCCTGCATACGGAGTATATATCTCCCATTTGAAACGATATTCCCGGGCTTGTATTCCTATCATGAGTTCCTTGATAAAGGGTTGCTGCTCACAAGGAAGCTTTTAAACCAAGAGTTCCAAATGGTGAAGTTGAAATCATCCCTTCGTAAAATTAATGGGACGCCATCACGAGTTGGTTGACCGTTATGGAATAACCGTTTCACAAATGATATCGGATATATTCCTTATGTCGTAATTACAATCCACTTCCTTTTTCACCAGGAATGTG